AAACAAAAATTCAAATAAAATATTCAAATTTTGTTCAAACATTAAAACTTATCAAAACATTAACGAAAAACTTCTTTTGATTGAGAACTGATTTTTGCATTTTTTCTTGAATTATAATTTGTCTAATTTTGAGTTGAATTTCTTTTTCTTAATGATAGCGCTCTTCATTAGAATTTGTTTTATTATTATTTTTCTTTCATTTAGTTTGTTATCTCAAAAATTCTCAGTCATTAAGTAATAAAAATTTGTTTTAAGAAAAATATCATTTTTTATTAGTATTTTATTCTCTAATATATAAAACTCTATTAATCTTTGTATAAATAATAAAAAAAAATTAATAAGTTTTTTAATGGGAAGACATTTAATGATAAGCATTAATAATAAAAGTCTATTATATAAATGTAAACTTATTTAACGGTTAATAATCTCTAAATCATCCAAAATAATAAATATCTTAATGAAAATTGCGATCATTTTCATGAAAATACTGAGAAAGAAATCAACAAAACGCAAGGCCTAGACAGACACCTAAACGGCTGTCCTCTAAGAGCTAAGGGCCTAGACAGACACGGCTGTCCTCTAAGAGCTAAGGGTTTGGGAGCAATAATTGCGGGCAAACTGACTGCTCTGAACACACAATCAAAAGATAGCTTTGATTAGTCTGTGATTTACCATAAATTTTTCATATCTTGCCTTCTCTGACGCATAAGTTGTTTGTATTCAGAAATCCTCAGCTTCTTGCCGTCCACAATACAGGTGCGCTTAGGTCGGGGTCGATATCTGTAGTCCGGGTGCTTCTCCATGTGCAGCTTCGACAGTCGCGACTGCTCCTCATAATAGGGCTGTTTCTCAGAGTTTGTCATTGCTTTCCAACGAGCGCCTGAACATTATGTCAGAGATTTATTAAGAGATTTCGCTTTTTATTATTTTTCAGACTTAATTCAATGAAAAATCATTTCTAAAGATCTAGAAATTTATTGTCGTTTTTATATATTCCCTAAACTTTCATTAAAATTTTTGATTTAACTTTTGAAACGATAAGAGAGAGAAGACTATGAGAAGAACATGAGTTAAATACAAATATTTGTACTTCATTTACAATTCTATGAATTATTAGCAAAAAGTGTTAAGAAATTGTCATAAATAAAGAAATTTCCTCAAAAAACGTCATAAAAAATATGAATAATTAATTAACTTTACCCAAGATTTTCGATATATTCGAGTTATGCATATCGGGACAGGCTTTGAGGATCTTCCTTCGCTCGTCTTTGGCCCAAACCATGAACGCATTCATCGGGCGCTTGACGTGAGGCTTGCCGTCCTGGTCGCGCTTCTGCTGACGAATAATCTTTGCGCCCAATATCTTGTCTGCGATAAGAAACGAATCAAACGTTAGAATACATCAAAAATTAGTTCTGCTTTTTGTGGAGAAATAAAAAACATTTTCACTGAAAATCTATTAATTCCTAAAAAGCATAGAAATTTGAGATAAAGTTTCATTCATTGAGTGTTTAACCAAAAAAATTAAATCTCGTTTTCATAAGAATCAAATGCTTTCCTATAAAGTGGACTCACTCTGACACGTGACGATAGTCTCGGTGTCGTTCTGGAGCTGTTGTTGCGCTTCGTTGCGATGTCTGTCCATTTGTGGTCCCATAGCGGCCGACGTCACGGTCGAAGTGGGCGTCAGTTTCGAGAGGTCGGGCAGCAGAAGCGGTCCGAACGGATTGAACGTCTTGTCGGAGGGCATGGAAGGCATTTGCGACATGTCGTGGCCCATATGCGGCGCCCTGAATCCCATGCCCAGAGCGTTGTAGGCGTGGAAGTACTGGTTGGAAGTGAGACCCGGATTCCCGAAGAAGGCCGACTGCGGCGGCGGAAGTTGTGACAACTGGGATGAGATCATAGTGGAGATGGCGGGCGGCGAAGACATCGGCGAATGGTTGCGAGTGAAGGATGGCTTCGAGCCGTAGTTCGCGGATCCGTTGAGTCCACTGTTGATTGAGTTCAATGAGGCGTTCGATGAGAATGATTGCGAGGAAGTGGTCGTCGCGGCCGTCGCCGCCGCCGCGAGCGCTGACTTGGCTTTCGATAGATTGAGCGGCGCTTCCGATTGGTTGCGGTGATTGGCGGCCGACGTCCGGTTGTTGCTGTCGGCGGAGCGCTCCGACTGCTGCGGACTCGAGTTGCGGCTGTTGTGGTGGTGGAAGCGGTTCTTCATGGATAGGTCTGCGGGCACTGCGGCCTCCTTGAAGTGTTTGGCGGGGCTGTGGTGGTCGGCGAGGAGGTGGTGCGCCGCCGACTCGAGCTTAAAGTTGTTGTTGTGCTGCGTTTGCGGCGCCTTCTGGTCGGGCGTCGGCGCCGACGTCTGACACATTTGGCTGAAGAGCGCGCTGGTATCCGGGTAGGGCAGAGCGCGGGCGCCGGCCGGCAGTTTGAGGGCGCCGTCCATGAAGGGCGAGAAGATGGCGGCGGCGGCCGCCTGCGAGCCCAAGAAGTTGGGCATCAGTTTGGACATGTATTGAGCGCTGAGTTGTGCCTATCGTTCAAGAAATGGGTTTTTTTAATCAAAACTAATAAAATTCAAAGTTTTTTGTTTTGCATTCGAGTCCTGATTATTATATAATTATTTATTTTGCGATAACTTATGAAATTTAAATTTGTTTAAAAATTTATTTTCGCGTAATTACTTAAATTGCTTTGAATTTAATGATAGCATTGGGACTTAATTATTATTCAAATGCTAAGAAATGTGCATTTTTTCCACAAAATTCCCTCTATTTTTATGCTCCACTTTCGACCCCAAAGTCCTATCAATAAGTCGTATGAATAGTGTTTTGAATAACTCGGTTGGGGTTCGCGTTATTATCCTATTATTTATATGACTGCTCATCGATAATGAGAAATAGACTCTGAGATAATGTTTTGGAAACGAATGCAAAACTCTTGTATTAGATTTCAAATATTTTGTGCAAAAAGAGAATAATTTTCTGATTATTTATATAAATAAATATCAGTTTTGTGGCAAAATTGCAAAACAAAATTAAATGTCCAAAATGAGTGTAATTTTAAATTATAATTCGCGAGTTCCAGTTTATGGATAAATGCATTAATTTTTAATACAAATTTACACAAATTAATTATGAATAAAATGATTAAATGTTTGCCGGATTCACTGACTTCTAGTGTTTCGCGATTTTGTTTCTTTACACGAAGAAGAAGTGCTTTTAAGGCAAATAAAAATGTTTTGCGAAAATATTTCGAATAATTTTGGGTAAAAAGAAATGTCAATAAAAATTAAGAAAAACGAGAATTGATTCACAAAAATGAGTGTAAAACTGGTCACAGAAATAATTTGTTGTCAATAAGACGAGAATCAAAATGAGAATCAAGTTTAGCGTAAGTTTAGTCAATCTTTTCTATTCAACTCATTAACTCGTCTTAAGACTAACTTTAAGGTGAGTTTGATTTACAACTTTGGCCTCAATTTATATACAAAAAACGTTTTGGATTTTAATGCGTTTTTTCGGGAAAAACAACTCAAATGATTATCAAATGATTTATATTTTACGTAATACTGAGAAATGGAGACAAAACTCTTTACTTGAAGAATAGGAAGAGAATAATAGCAATAAAAATGTGTTTTTAATGCGATTGTGATCTAAAAATAAATGTCATTAAAGCTGTGCCGAGAGATAAATGCCATCCGAGAGCGAGAAAGACTACATATTCTCTGAATTCTTGTTTTCTTAACAATAGATATAGAGTTCAAGACAAATAAGCAGAGAATTGAACAAAGAATTTGAATAAATAAATAGAGTTTTGTTTTTGTCGATTAGAAAGCATTGTCGACCAGAAGAGCGAAGAATTTCTAATTTGAGCCCAAGATTTATGAAAATTGTTTTTTGGGCTCTGCGGGAGAGATGTGCGCTCACGGGGAGAGGGGTGTTGTGGTGGTGGCGGTGCGCATACCTGGAGTTCTTGTATTTTGTGTTGTTGTTGAACCAATTGTTCCTGTTGTCGCTCAATCTGTTCCGTTTGGTGTCTTTGCAACTCAGCCGTCAATTGAGTGGAAGATGAGTCTAATTTTGACTGCAGTTGTGGTGCAAAGGGATGTCAAGAGGAGGAATGGGGGGAGCATTCAAATTGATGGCAGAGGAGAGTGAAAGCGAGAGAGAAAAGAAAATAACAGTTAGAAAAATGTCACTTTTTTGGCACTAAATTTATTACAAATAATGACATTTACAGCACAAACGTCTCTAAGAGAGTAGTGTTCAGTAGTCGTGAAAATATAATATTTGAGTTCAAAACCATAAGAGCTTTTAGTTTCTGCGACTATTATACAACGTTTTATTGCTGCAAAGGTTTGACACATTTTCTTGCTTTTTGTGTCTTTTATTTCGCGAATAAAGTGCGTTAAAGACAAAGCAAAACAAAACCAATACTCAGAGCTAACCCTTAATCCCAATCGATCTAAAGTGTATTCTTATGTAGGGTTTGAGCGTCGGATGTGGTCTAAAATTAGAAATTGTTTTCGAGCAACTAATTTATGGCTTTTTGGAGACAAATAAAAATAAATTATTTGTAACACAAAAGTTATTCAAACAAAAAGTACTTATTTTCACAATTCGCAATACACTCTCTCTCATTGGCCAAGGAGGCAATGGATGCAAGAATAATAACCATTATTTTAATGTTTTGTGAGACGTTTAGACTTTGTTTTAAAACATAACACAAATAACTTATGTGAATGTATGGCCCATTCAAGTGTATGAGTGTCTGACACATTCATTGGTCTGCGACCCATTTAGCACAGTTAGGATGAGAAAGGAATGCCATTTATGCCCGTTTTGTCTCTCCATTTGTCTTAGACTCGCAAAGTGTTGCAGAGGATCGCCTTTTGGCTCGAGTTTCACATGCAGAGAATCGCCTCACATTTCAGGCGATCGCTAATCAAAGCCAACAAAGAGAAGACAATCGACAGAAACGCAGTAAAAGTCGTGATTGAGTGAAAACAGATGAGCGGAGCAGAGAGAGTGGTGGAGTTCCCACACAATGCCCGGCCAAAGACAATGTGACGGACAGCGCTTTTTTAGTGCCTTTGTCTTAGTGGTGGACGCGCTCCGGAGCGCACATCTGGAGCCGGAATGCGAGAACTCGCTAACTGTAAGAAAGACTGCGAAACCGTTGTTTCACTACTGCTTTACAATAACAAGTGTTTCGCAGAATTCGAGGCATTTGTGGGCGCATTGGGAGCGCATTGAGAGCGCCAACAGTTAGTTTGTGTCTAAATAAGACTAAAGGAGCGCTTATTTGTTGAGATAATAATAGCCGATTCACACAACGAATCGCTATTCACACAATCAGTTGATTAATTGACGGCTTCTTCGGATGGGATTTGTTTGTGAGCTCTTGTTCTCCACAACTGAATAATATATTCTCTGATCTAATGATGAAAAGAGATTCGCTTTAAGTGACAGAAAAACCTTTTCAATTATAAATAGTTTTTGTCTTTTGAAAAGAGAAATTTTGATGAATTTTCGCGAACACCGACTTTGAGTGTTGAAAGTGTGTGAATAATTGAAAAGATTTCATTAATCTTATGAATAATTAGTAAAATATAAATCATGTTTGAATTAAAATCTATTTTTGCTCATTAACTCAAATTGAATTATGTTTGCAGTAATTGTAAAGTTTGGAGTTTGCGAACAACTCGCAGTCAATCTATTATTCAATCGATTGCAGGGAAAGTCATTTTTGTTCAAACATTCCTGATATTAATGGTGGGCCGGAAAGGCGCACAGAAGCGCTGCAAAAAAGGCATAATTCATGTAATCAGTGGTCGAACGGAAGATTAAGATTGAGTCGCGATGTTTGTGTTGATGCAGATGGAGATGGATTATTGAGAGCGCTGGACATCCCTTATGACCTGAATTGTCATTAATAATAGAGAATTGATGTCCAAAGAGAATACACGGAGAATGAGTGAAAGCTGTGACCAAAAACTAAAACCAAGACTAATACTAATAGTGAAGGCTTTGATTATTAAGCGATACTTTTTGTTGAACTCATTTTTCTGAATATAGTTTCTTTTGATCCCTTTCTGCGATCGGAAATCGAATAATGCTAATGACGGCAATGGAGTGGCACTACAGCTACAGTTCCTCTGCCACTGCCCGCAGCTCCAGTCATGACAATCGTGGTCGTCGTGACCGCAATGACCAGCGAGCAAATGATTAACTCAATTATTATCCACGTATTGATCGCCGCATAAATCATGATTGAGAGGAAAGCGTTATTTCATTACATCATTACCGATGAGGCAAATGATGAGACATGTCTCACAATATGTGTCATTCGCCGGCAAACACTTGAATACATGTAATTGAGTGCCGATTATGGCCCCAAACAATGCCTGAATAAATAATGAAAATAATGCACCCCTTGTCGAGGCAGGCCTTACGCCGCGTATCTCGTCATCTCTCATGAGTAGTGAAACATAATATTTTCATATGAAAGCCGCACTACAACTGAATGCGTGTTCTCTCCTCTTTGTCCTCTCTTTCATCTCTTTTTTATTAGTTTTGTGTTTGTGTTTGTGATGCCATTATCTCTATATGATGTCTGTCTCATCCTCTCAAGCGATTTGATCTCAATTCTCATTAGAGAAGAAACACTTTCTCTGAACACTTATCGTTCATATCTACTCAAGAATTCCTCTCGATTTTGGTTGTGATCTTATTTTTGCCAAAATAATAATAATAATAATAAAGTCACTCCAACTCACTATTAATCTCAAACACGTTTGCTTTTGTCTTTCGTTTTGGGGCCCAAAAAATGGTTTTATTTTTATACAATTTTTGGAAAGCATTCAATTTTGCATAAAAATAATTTGTTTTTGTCATAAACTCTAATTGTTATCGAAGTCTGTGTTCTCCTCATCATTGCATTAGAAATGCGTTTCGTTTCGCAGCCTTAAAGACAGCAATTAATTATTAGCCGAGAATTCCGGCAAAAACAATATTTATGATGCTCTCGAATACCAGATCCCTATCTCCGAGTCTATCTCTGTCCCCAAATATTAATTTCAGACACATTTCATATTCAACGCACAGAAAGTCGTTCTAAAAAAAGGTTTCCACTTCTGAGACAATTGTATCAAACATTGGCTGAACCGCCGCTCAACACAACCCAAAGCCGTGTCTGCATCTCATGCGCACGACTTCTTCGGCTCAGAAGAGACCCATTGTTCGTCTCTATAGACAAAGACAGAGCTATAGTGCGATCAAAAGACGATCAAAAGTAAGACATTTGTGTTGGCATTAATTAATGAGAAGCGAGGCCTGTGTTGAAGATCTCTAACAACTTATTCTGACAATTAATTTGGCACAAGATTTCCCTGTATAAATGCCTCCAATTTGTCTCTGTCTCTGTGTTTGCAAACTCTAATTGTCTATATCTGGCCACAGATCGCACCAATACGCGGATCAACCAATTAAACGCCTCTATTCTTATAACAATCCATAAAAATAAACTCTTCAACAAAACTAAGATAAAAATATCGCTAATTATTTGAGATTTGGAAGCATTTTGTTTTTGCGTTCATTAGTTGAGAGATATTTATGTAATTTATTTTCACCTCAAATGTCGATTGAATTTTCAAATAAAATAAACGCCAAACAAGTTATGGAAGCGTTTCGATGACCAAAACGCTTGTTCATAAATCAGAGCGATTTGTGTGAGAAACGACTGTTTTGTGAAATTATGGTCAAAACGTCGCGCTTTACGACCCAACTGTGCTCTCCTCTCAATTAAAACATCTCTGAATACATATATTAAGATATTTCGCGAATTAAATTAAAAAAATTAAAAAATCAATTAATTTAAACACAAATTCAGAAAATTAATAAATAATTTATGAAAAACTGAATTTAAAAACAAAATTAATTTTGTTCAAAGTTTTTGAATATATTGTGAGCAAAAATAAAAATGGTTTGCATTTCACTAATGGAAAGAAATATTAACTTATTATACATTTTGTAGTTTCCTTCGAATTAAAGCCCAACTCTTCAGTGCATTAATTATGTATCAGTAATGAAGTCGACATTCAAATGAAGATCTCATTCAATCATTTACTGCATTACGCCTAACAAGAGATACAATACAAGTGTAACAGATATTGAGATGACATACACAGCATATCAAGTGTATTAACCACATCCGCGTCCCCTCCATATCCCCAGTGATGCGTTTGTCCTCTCATGCTCTCAACTCATCCTTTTTTATTATACGCTTTCCACTAATGTTTATTTGTGCAGCTCTGCAGCTCCTACAGCTCTCAGCTCAGCTCCTCCATCTCTATCACACACAACAGCCGTTCCTCGCTCTGGCAAAAGCAGATCGCAGCCAATCTCTGCTCCTATTCTTTGCTGTTTTGCCGCATATGTTGTTAGAGAGGATGCTGTGGAGCAGCACTGAGAGCCATGTCTTTTGTCGGTCGTGCAAAACATGTAAAGATTAAAGCGAAAAGCAATTGCATTAAATCATTGAAGCGAATGTCATTCGCCGCCATTTTTCGATACCATATATTAACAAATCCCAAATGAATGCATTTATTTAACAAAATAAAGTACAACTTTCACAACGAATTGTTCGCACACAGAAATAGTTGCCTTTTTAGCGCAAACAACACAACGAGGATCTGGTTTTCCAAACTCTACCAAAAGTTCAATAGACTTGTGATAAAAAATAAAGTATTTTTTGTCCATTCAATGAAATATTGAGTGAATTTTATGCAGCATAATGTCTATCACTGGGAAACTCAATCCACGACTTTATCTACAAATATAAGCAATTTTTGTACAACAGAACTACTATTTTATCTTCTATTTTGAATTTTTTGTTTAGAGCCAAAGAAGACCACATTTTGTGCGAAGAAAAAAGTGCTTTTCGTCCAAAAAGTTAATGTGTTTTTCATGTCATAAAACAGAGACTGATATGAAAACGAAAAGCTCTCTCAAGAGACTCGAGACTTGAAGAAAGGCATCGATTCTGCGAACACTCAAACACTGCACGTAAGGAAAGACAGCAAACAGTCACGAGAACGCCGATCCAGTCGTACATTGAGTGACGGCTGACCGACGGCCGAAACCGTTGGCCGAAATCGGCAGACATTTAATGCATTTTTGCCATTATTTTAATCCGAACATCGCTTGCGATAACAATAAACCCAAAGCTCTTAGGCTTTAATTAACACATTTTACTCAACATTTCTCTACTCTTTGATCAGATATTTGTTTGCTTTTCGAAACACATTTAGATAATTAATAATAAAAATAATTTTAAGGAAATAATAATAATAAGCGATAAGTGAATTCAAAATTAATATTTTTCCCATTATTTTGATATAAGAGTTGCAGATATTTGTCATAAAAAGCACTGCTTTTAGGTTTTGTGTTCAAAATTCTTGCCTCTAATCAATTAAAGTTAACATAAATTTCTAAAAAATGAATTATAATTAAAAACAAATGCCATAAAAACAAAAATACATGTGATATCAGCGAATTATGCAACTTTTTATTTGATTGATTGGAGAAATAACTTGAGTTTCATTTTCTGTAAAAATATTTGTTAATAAATAAAAATCCAAATAATAATTAATTATTGGTTTAGACTTTTATTTTCGGAGATTATTCTCGAAAAAATTCTTGATATCAAAAATGTTTGTTTGATTTATTAGTATTACGTCTATGGAGTGAGGCTTTCAATCAAACTTCGATTTTTCGATTAATTACAATAATTTCAATCATTCTCTGCGTTAATGAAAACACAGATTTAAATACATTTTGTGTTTTTGTGTTTAAAGCGAGTCTCTAATTATGATTGAGTTTTGGCACAAAAAGAAAATAATGAATTTCATAACAAGTGTATTAAGAGCTGCGAATATCGTTCACTAATCGCTTCATTAATCTTGTTTTTCATAATTTTAATAAAATGTTTTGTTTTAATCCACAATATCTTAATTATGACCACTTGAGACACTATTAATTATAATTTCACACTCTTGAAGCGCTGCCAATGCGAGCACTGGTAGTTCATAAGAGAAACACTGTATCAGTCAATGCCAAAAGTATTGCACTAAATGACTGCGAGTTAATAACTGCTTAAAATTCAACAGTTGTTTAGAGATTGGAAAAGTTGTAAAAAGTATATATACTTTGGATATTAGGTTCTAAAGCGAAACGGAGAGCGTTTCAATCAAAAGCACATTTGAATACAATTCGTTGTCTTTCAGAGAGAAGGCATTAATTAGGGCTTCAATACTGCGAAGGGATTATAATTTGCATCATTTAGTGTTCAATTAGTTGGTAATGGATGCGATAATAGCAGAGCTAAGGCTGAGATTCGGGCAGTGGTTGACCTCTTGGGGTTCATTCGCAGCGATTGTCATTCAGTCCGTGTTTTTGGCGACTCTTTGCTAACAATTCTGTGATAAGAGTTGGAAATAATTGGTTTCAGAAATCAATTTGATCTGTCATTCATTCATCCCTTGTTTGAGACGTTAATTAATATTTGAGGCATTCTTTGAGTTGTGATTCAAATTGTCACAAATGGAGTTCAGATCAGTGGAAGACTTTTCCATTTATTTCTAATAATCTATTATTCCTTAAAAACTTGAATTCAATTTCTGGGCTCTCAAGTCATTCGTCATAATTAATGATTACTTAACTCTTGGAAAGTCTTGGCTTTTATGCACACCAGAGCTCTCATATCAGTCGATCTGATGCTTAAAACAAATACTGTATTGAATACTAAACTCGATTCAGACAAACATTTCTAATCTCTTTTTCTTCGCTCATAAATATCGCGAAGAAATCTAATTAAATACTATTTCGAGTCCATTAAAACCTTTGCTCAAAAATGTGAGACAAGAGGAGCTCAGGTATTAATTATGTCATTTGAATGGCGAATAATAAACAAATTTTGGGGCTTTTTGTGAACAAATATAACTGAAGAGCGCCGGTGGGAGAGAAATGAGTCCACTCTGGGAGTCATTATTCTTGGCATAGCGTTCGTAGCGTACAATCAAATGGGATTCAGTTTCTGCTCAAAACTGCAAAAAATGTTTGTTATCTGTCTCTCGAAAATGAGATCAAATATATTTGGACTAAAGTTATGGCAATTTTTCTTTAAATAATACCAAAGAATAAGATTAGAGGAGCGATAAGGCGAAGAAAAGACGTCCAAAATATAGATCAAAACAACAAATAAACGCAAATGAATGCGAAAACGTTGCGCTCGTGAACGCAGTCATAATTCATTGCGATTTTAAATTCAAAATTAATGCACTTTTATTGAAATATTGTTTGAGTTATCGCGCGATTAGTATTCAGTTTTTAATTTATATATCAATAAAATATTTCCTCAAAACTCGAAACTAGATTTCGGTAATTATTCTCTAATTTGGATTCATTTCTGTCGCAGAACTCGATCTCTTGGCGATTAAATTCAGTGATTAAGAGATTTAGCAGACATTACAGTTAGCGATATAATTATGATAAATAAAGAGTAAAACCATTCAATTAATCTATTTTTGTATAACTTTTGTCGAATTAATAGCCAAAGAAATTACACTATTTTTATCCGACACTTAATTAGATGCGAAACAAACACAGCGATCGATTGGAGGCCAGAGAGAGGCCCGCAATGACTGCAAAAAGAGAGTCTATTTTTGGCGATTTCGCCCAAAAGAGAGCCAATTATTGCCAGCAATTGATAAATGGAGAAAACAATGCGCGAGGAATGCGAATAATGTTTAACAATTAAAAAGCAAACTGACCTCATGTTGCTTTAATAATAGATTCTCTCGTAATTGTGACAATTGTTCAATCATTTCATTGAGCTTTCGCTCGGTGTTCGTCACGACTTGGGGATCGCCGTCAGCGCACAGAGAGGCCAACGAGTGCACAATGTTCTGCTCCAACACTCCGTCCCTGTTATGTAATCAGTGTTAGTCTGCAGGCTATGAGACCCTCTTCTCTCTCTCACCTCTGCTTCGAGTGACTGTTGTTTTTGTTGAGACGGTTCAACACTTCGTCGATCGACCGCTTATTCAGCTTCAGTTGGCGCCGCTTTTCCGAAGACGAGTGGCCGCTCGACTCGCTCTCGTACTCCGAGTCGGTGGTCGACGGCTCCGACGCCGCGAGGCTGTTGTTGACGGCCACTGCGGGCGCGGCGGCGGCGGACGACACGCCGTTCACGCGGTAGTCCTCGGGCTGGGCGTCCACTTCGACGTCGCTGTCGTTTTTGTCGGACTCGTCGAAGTCGTCGTCCTCTTCCTCCTCCTTCTGGTCGTCCATTTGAGGCGCAATTTTGTTGGGAAACGATTTTCTTTTGGCAGACATTTCGCCAATTATTGGCTATAAATCGCAAAACACATTAATTTTATTGCAATTTTTCTCTAAACAAAAGCTGAGTATTAATAGTACACTAATATTAATAGCTATGACTCGAGGGCTTTGTTTCCCAAAAACTATTGTGAACTCTGCAGCAAAAATGCTTTCGAACTGAGAGTAAGACTGGGAGTGAAGAAAGAAAACTAAATTTTGCGATAAAAACAAAAAGTTGTGGAAATATATGAACTCTTAAATCGGTTTTGATTCTTAAATATAGCGTAAACTGCATTGAAATAAAAACACGAAAAATCTTGCTTTTGATTGTGATTTACTCTCGAAATTCAAGTGAAGCGACAATAAGTTTTAAAGAGCTCTGAAAAGGCGTTCATTCACTGCTTTTCACGACAAAAGTGGAGTAATTTCGCGAAACAGTCGGCGCGCCGTTGGACACCGTTTTCCCCTTAATATTGAGTCCATTATTAGCGAAGAAATGATTCACAGAAGGCTTTGCAACGCATTGTTTCGAAGGCTTTGTTTGGTTTGGATTTGCATTGGTTTGCGTTCGCAGTCAGCGATCAATACGTGAAACAAAGGTTTGACTGTATTTGCGATCAAATCACTACTCAATCACTGGAAGAGAAACGCATCTCAAGTGATGCAAACGAAACACAGCACAGAAGTGACTAATGGAGGGCCGGACAGGGATGTGGAGTGTCCGGTGAGGCGCGAATGAGAAATGGAGGTAACAATCGGCGCCTGATTGCCATTATTGGGCGCCACTTATGACCGCAACTATTATGTGGTGACAAATGTTTGTTGCGAGTAATGCGGCGAAAGAATGGGTTTCGAGATTTGTTTGTTTGGCGTTTGTTTAGCACTCAATTAGCGGTCGAGTGATGGCCGAGGATGAGGCGGACAGTGGATGCAAATGCGCGTAATTGGAGAGCAAAGAGTGGAGTGGATGCGAGTCTGCCTGCCTGTGCTCAGAGTACTGCCTGCCTGTGCTGGTGATCAATCACTGTCAATGTGGAGCAACACATCGGGGCCTGAGTTGGGGCTGGAGTGCGGCGGTCGGGCACACATTGAGGCACATTGTCAGGCGTTGTAATGGCTTTGAAACTAATCAAATAACAATAATCAACGAAAGCAGACGTCAAATGAGTTGGAAATGAGGTTTTATTAATGGATGGCAACACTCGTAAGAATACACAACACTTTCGCCCAGTTTTTCAATCATAAGCCAAAGCAATGATAAATTGAAAAACACTTTCTTCGAGTTAATATTGAAACATATTTTCAATTAAAAATACAATTTTCCACTATTAGAGAGGGGAGGGCAGTGTGGGGACCGGGAGGAGAGGTATCGCATGAGGAGTTTTTGTATTTGCGGAATAAATTGAGGTTTTATTAAAATGTGTTCAAATAATTAAGAATATTCCGAAAGAGGCGATAATTAGCGCCAATACTTATGCTTATCGCGAATCAATGGTGAACTTTGAATGTTTATTCAACTGTTTTTCACATCCGTTGCAATCAATTCTGAATTGTTATCAATAGCTCGAAGAATATGATGAGTGAAGTGTTCTTTCAGACAATATCTTATGAATAAAGGGCTGATTCATGACATGAGTGACACAACACTGGAGTCTATAATCACTTGTTGTGTATTAATAGTTGTTCTCTAAGCCAATCAATTTGTAAGTGAATAGCGATTCTCTGCGAATGTCTTTTTTATTCAAATCACAGCAATGAAAGCTTTGATAGCTCTGCAAAGAGAGTCCATTTCAAGTATTTTTATGATTTCATTATTTCTGAATTTATAGTTGTCTGCGTTTGGAGAGCCAGTGCCAGCCCCAGCTCTCAGCCGCAGCTCAGCTCAGCCATAGCCCAGATATAATGCCCCCCAAAGTTTTGTGATTCAAATCTCATTTTATATTTTTAGCAAAAAGCGTTCATATAATATATGATTGTTTTTGAGGGGAAATAAGAAGAAAAATGCAGAAATAAAAGCGAAAGAATTTAATGAAATCTGTGCTGTAGAGCAAGTATTTCGACAAAAGTTATTCTGAGCCTCGGGTGACAAGAGTCAGGGCTGTAATGTTAGAGACATTTGCCTCATAATCATAATCATAATAATCAATAGAGTATTCATTTCTGAGTTAGCCTTTCATCACATTGTGAGCGCTGGACTCGATCTCAGAGTAATAAATATATTAATTAATAATATGTTTGCAAAAAATGTGGTCCCTTTGGAGTAAAACATAAACTCGTTATGAAATGAATGCAAATTATCGACTGATATAATGCAGAGCTTGAGTTTGACAAAAGCCGCCTTATGTTAGAGTAATCAATGCGAAAGTGTTTACGCAATGCAACCGCAGATCAGGACTGAGGAGTCATGTGATCGAAGACAATCGGAAGACAATTGCGGCCATTGTTGGCGCGGAGGCAAACAACAACTGATTATTTGTCTGCTTATCGCTGGCCTTGACGACAATAATGAGCGCTAATTAATGCTGAATTTCAACACTATATCGAAAGACAATGGCGGAGAGCGAGAGAGAGAGAGAGAGAGAGAGAGAGAGAGAGTCGCGGACTCGCGGAGTAATTCTCGGCAACAGGTGTTGCACTTCTTGATCGCATTCTTCGCGCAAATCAATTACTTTGTGTCAAACAATCGCTGAATTATCTCTCGAACTAATAGTCAGTATTAAGGGTTTGAAATTGAAAAATATAATTAGACTTTGAGTGAGACTATTACCAAAATATTAGATACCATTAAATATAATTGTAATTACAAAATAATACTTTTATTAAAGGGTTTGCGATTTGCTTTTAGGCGACTCCGGGGAATGTTGGCCTAAGAACTAGAAATAATTGCTGCGACTCTGAGTTTTGCTCATATTTTAAACTTTTCCCCCGTTTTTGGTGAACAACAAAAAAGTGTTTTCTTTTAATGAACACTAACTCTTGTCTGTTGATAGCAATTAACGAACGCATCACAAGTTTGGCCATAATTTTCTTAATCGATACGCAAAACAAAAAGGAATTTTTGGCAAATATTTTCTCACAGCTATTAAGGCTCTAATGGCCGACCATTTGGTGCGAGAGATATGCAAAACAATGTGCGGCTAATTGTGGCAATTAATGGAGTTGTGCGCAAACAATGGCTTTGCGTGATTGCGGACGCGAAAGACAAACAAATGCAACACAAAATGCATGTCAGCTCTAGTTATGTAACAGTGTTTAGTATGAATGCATTGCATTAGCATCTGGGCCATTGTTGAGATTAATGACAAGAGGAATGGCTTCCTGAGAGTGCATATGATTTGCATATCCTTTTTGGGAGACAAACGCTTCGGCAATAAGTTATGACAATTGGATGCCATTATTTTCTTTGAACGCATTAACAGTTAAATACATAAGTAATAGTCATATACACTGTATTGGAGCCAAAAATAGATCCGCAGATCGAGTGAAGCGATAGTTGAAACAAATGTTATAATTTCGAGGCAAACCATTAGAGAGTGCGAAACACTCAACACTTTGAGTGGACGGACGGCTCAAGAGTTCATTTTCAGTGTTTGGTTGCAAATGTCAATGAATTTATAGTAAGAAGCGATAAATTCTTGTTTTTCAGCCTTCGATGCGATTCTCAAATAAATTAAAATAAAGAAGAAAATCGCAGAAAATTAAATTCGAGTCATATTTTATATTTTGACCAAAAATTAATACTTTTGGCAAAAGAAAAATTGATTAATGGTTTCCACTATTAGACACTCATTTCGATTGTACGGGTTTTGGGCAGAAAAGGAGTTCAAAACATTTAAGTGTTTAATAAATTATTTAGAAATTAAATGTTTTAATAAATATTTGATTTGAAAAGTCAATTTGAATTCGCATAAAATTTTACGAGTATTTTGTGGGAAACCTTTCCTTAGATTACAGCTATTATTGCGGAGAAGAATGTCTATTAAGGCCAATAAATATGCGGCAAATGTGACCTTAGATTGTCTGACAGTCCGCGAGTGCTAATTATGTTGGGTTTTGTTTGAATGATAAATGATATGAAAAGATATTTATTAATCATTTTGAATACAAAACAGTTTGAAAAACGCGAAGCAATGAAACCTTATTATTATGATTACGACTATTATTACATCCAATTATTGTATTGAAACACAATTACATTGCGAGCAAACAATGGCCGCGTCATTAGAGGTTTGCTGTCCTCTCACGCGAGGATTCAAACACTTTTAAACAGGATTTTCGAAACGATTATTGATTTTATGATGAATTTCTGTAATGAATTGATTTGTGTTTTGCAACAAATTTACACATTTTTCGCCCAATAATTGGATTCATAGCTAATCGCAGAAATGTGTAATCAATTTGCCAGAGCAAAGCAAACTATTTTAAATGCAAATTTCGAAATAAATATGTATTATATTTGAAATTAATGCCAAAATATGCGAAATATGGCCGACATATGAATCGCGTATTAATTTCCACAAATGTTTGTCGAATATAATTAGCAATGAATGAGAAATACTTATGAATTGCCAAAAGGAAGAGACAAGAAAAGGAAATTCAAAAACTTAAAAACCATTTGAAAAAACCATTTTCATTGAGTTTGCGTTCAATTTGTGGTAATCTTTACGAGACTTTTATTGCATTGTTATTGCGAGAGGTTTTGGCAATAAATTTGAGAGTCGCGGCGATTGTTGCGAGCGGAGAAAGAAACGAATATTTGATTTATGAAACAATGGTTTAATTAGCGATCGCTTCTGTTGTGGCACTCCTTTGGCAGCGAAACCACTAATTATGGTTTGAAGGGAAGAGCAGAGAAAGAGATCACTTGTTGACTGCCAGATGTGGTAACGGAGGAGCCGTGAGAGCGACGCGACAATTGTCTTCGCGATTGTCTTCTCGCGGATGTGATTAATGCGAAGACAAAGCTGAGGAATGCGTGACTCGAAGGCAATCAATCCATTAGTCATAGAGTTGTCTATAATTGTTATCTTTGAAAGAGAATCCGCGATAAGAGTTGGAGACAACTCTCGGCAGACAATGGTTTCATTGAGACGATTGGCGAATCACGCGGAAGTGCGC